GCTCTTCCTCTTCTTCCTCTCTCTCTTCTTCTCTTCTTCCTCTTTCTTTCTTCTCTTCTTCCTCTTCTCCTCTTCTTCCTCTTCTTCCTCTTCTGTCCTTCCTCAGTGCAGGCGCCCTTTTGCCTCTTTAATAAAATCTCCTGTCAGGTACCCTGGTGTGTGGCGTGGTCGTTGAGTGCCGACGGAGCTCTAACAAGGAGATCATACAGGATCAGTGAGTCAATAGATAAGCATGTGACCATATGTGCCTCAGTCTCGTGTTCCTTTGAGTATAAACTCACCAGCCACTCCTCAGAAGGAAGGTTGGGCAATCTACTTCCACCCAAGGAGGGGTTGCTGTGAGTCGGATCTGACTTCATGGCAGTGAGTTGGGTTTTGGATTTAGAGCATTCAGCTTAGTACCTCCCTGAATTAGGTATTTATTAAATTGCTGTTGACATTGGGAACGATGATCGAATTATCACAGCATGTGTTAGATTTAACTGAGATTGGAATTGACTTGATGGCAGTGGGTTGTGTGTGTGTGTGTGTGTGTGTGTGTGTAAAAGCAAGGAAGTTGTGTTATCTGAGTGTTTGAAGCACAAAGAAGAGAGACAGTGTCACATGCTTCTGAAACAGGACAGTACCTTGCTTTTATCATTAGTCAGTATATTCTTGAGGACTCACCATATGTTTGAGGAAAGCAGGGAGAAAAAATATTTAATGAACTTTCAATTTTTCCAAAATATTGGCAGTTCGGACCCACCAAAAGCTCTGTGGGAGAAAGATGAGGCAGTCTGCTTCTGTAAAGGTTTACAGCCATGGAAATAGGATGCCTGATAGGTTCACCATGAATTGGAAGCCACTCAATGGCCATGGGTTTATCCCTTTATTAGAGAAGTGCAGCACATAACAACAGCAACAAGAGAACTGCCAGCTGATATGTTTCTCTATTAAGACTAATGTAACAGCACCAACTGGAACAGGTGATACTATTCCTTCAAAAAAAAGAGTCCCCAAACCAAGTAGTGTTAATATGCCCAATTCCCACCTATTCAAAGGAATGTGAAAATTCTATGGAAATCCATATGGGTTTATTTATCCAGTAGATACTAATTCTGTTCATTATTGGTTTCCAAGCAGTCTCTATTAAGAAAACTTCAGTGAAGATAAAACATATACCCATCTAATTTCTGTTACCTGCTTTGTAAAAATTTTTAATTTTTATGTAAGCAAATTATACAGTTGATAATTCTTTATTACTAAGAGTTTATTTACATGAGTATTTAAGGCATAATAAAAAATAAATTACAGTACAAATGTGCACTTTAGGAACAAGACACTCAACAACAAGGCCATATTACACTTTGAGTATTTAGCTAAGACACAAGCTACAAGTTTTGCTGGGAAGACGCTCAATGAGTTTTTAACTATTTTTTCATTGCATATACAGAACAGCATCTTGATTGAAGAAATAACCCATTTACTATATTTTCAGTGGTTGAATTATGAGTAAAAATGTGAAATGTGGATTAAAGGAGTATAGATTTCAAATCTAATTTTGTTTCAAAACTAAGTATTGAAATTTACTTTTTAGATTGTATAAAAGGCAAAATGAGAGGTGTTGAATGAAGTTAAGAATCAAAGTTCATATGTAAATTCCACCTCAATAAAAAAAAAAAAAATTGGGAAAAATAGCAAGATTTAGCATCTTTACATACAGATAACCTACTTGAGAGTTCTAGTTTGTTAAAAGAAATCTGCAGCCCAACCAGTGAAAACTGAAAACATCCGGCTATGATGAATATAGACTTTTAGACATTTTCTGTACTTTGAACAAATGCTGCTGTAGCTTAAGTTTGGAAAAACACTGGGAAATGACACCATTGAAAAGGCATTCTTCTTTCCATAGCCCATTTTTAAAGTTTATCAGTACAAGCAAAAAGTTGGTTCCATTCAGTTAAAGCAGTTTGGGCATTTCTTTGGCCCATACGAAATCCTCCCTCCCACAAAATAAGCAAGTGAATTAAAACAAAAAAATAAAACAGAAAAAAATTAAATAATCTCTTCCAGTTCTCAGAACTTTGTATAGTACTATATAAAATTATCATTTTAGGGTTGACTTTTTTTTTTCCCCCATCAGCTCTAAGTTTTCAGAGTTGTAATGTATACTACTTCAGAATCCTTCTATTCAACTGCTTAATGATCCCAGTCCACAAATGATCATAGACTTTGCTCTGTTGTTATAGATAGAATTGGGGAGAAAAGGTGTAGTAGACTAACCAGGCAATCACTGCTTGTGAAAGAACTGCACTGTTGATTATTTCTCATGACACACAAAAGAAGGTGACAAAATGATTCATCCAGAGGTGGTGTTGGTCAATCTGTTAGCACTTACATAGGCTTTTCTAGTTACTCTGTGATTTAGACTTGTGTTATTGTAGACCTTGGATCAATTGACAAAAAAAGAAAAGAGGAAAATGCTATCATCTGGGATATTGAAAAAAAAAATCAGTGAAACAAGATGTGTCCCATACTTAAGGAGAGCCATAAAAAGAAAAATTTAAAAAAATTGAGCAATCTACTTCCGTAGTGATACCACCTCGGAAACCCAAGGAGGAGTCACTATGAGTCGTGTCCAACTTGACGGCACATAACAACAACAACAAATTTACAATTTACTATTAATCAACTGAAGTAGATTGCCCAACCTTCCTTCTGAGGTGGGGCTGGTGGGTTTGAACCACCAGCCTTCTGGTTAGCAGTCACATGCCTTAGGCACTACGCCACCAGAGCTCCCATTAATCAACCAAAACAATGGGGAGATTTTACTCGCCTTTTAATTGAGAGTGTGAAGACAAAGAGTAAATGTTCACTTTAATAGCAAGAGTGCTGCTTCTAAAGAAATTACAGTAATACAGTAAAGGAAATATCATGACAGACAAGTTAGCTTTTGTCCCTTTTGAAGCTAATAAATGTATATACAAATCATAATCCACAAGGAGAGTTCAAGGGCAAATATTTAGCTTATTAGTTTACAAAAGCTGATGAGCATCTTCAATTGCACTCTGTCTGAAATGAAACCATAATAATGAGGCTGTATGTGAGTTTGGTGGTATCTGCTCAAGAAGGACCATGTGCTGTCTTCAGAAAAACATTCAGAGCTGATTGGAAGACAGGTCATAACTGGAAAAGCCAAAGAAAAATTTCCATTAACTTCAGCTTAGCCTAGGTTCTTGTTCTTGGAAATCTTCAGCTTCCTAAAATATAAAACAAAAATTTAAATAGATAATGCATTTGGGAAGACTACAGTAGGAGTACCTGGCAAGTATATTCTTTTCAGATTTATTCTCTATTCTGAAGAGAAGGAAAATATTCTTAGACTTATTTGCTCCTCCCATAATTTAATTTTTAAAAGAAGTTTTCTGACCCTTATTACGTAGTTCTGAGTCAGTGTCTTGATTGGTAGCCTCTGAGTTCCTTGTGGACTCCCTGGGTGGTGTAGACAGTTACAGCGCTCAGCTGCTCATGAAAGGCTGGCCATTCCGGTTCACCCAGAGATATCTCAGAAGGAAGTCCTAGTGATCTGCTTCCAAAAAAATCAGCCACTGAAACACTATAGACCACCATTCTACTCTGACACATATGGGGTCACCATGAAGTAGAATCACTTCCATGGGCAACTGGTTAACATGGACATTTGCTGCCTCTTTCTCAGTCTCTCTCTCTCTGTCTCCATCTTATTATGAACATAATCAAACAAACAGAAAAGTAGAGAAGACAGTGTATGGAATTCATCCAAATCTAATTTTAAAGAATTTATTGCTTTCTTCTTTTGGCTGAAGCTTTAAAGCAAATTACAGATATTCTGAGATCTCACCCCTAAGTACTCCAGTATGCCTTTTTATAATAAAGACATTTTCCTTTATGATTACAATATCATTATCACAACTAATAGAAACTAATAATAATTGCATAACCTCCCTATTCATAATTTCCCCTCCAAATTTTTTTGACAACTAGTGTTTTCAAATTAGTGTCCATCCAATCAGGGATTGCATATTGCACTTGATTGTGTTACTCTCAAGTTTCCTTTAATCTACAGCATCTTTGTTTCCCATGACACTGACTTAGAGAATCCATTTAATTTTAAAAAGACAATAGCCCTGGGTCTCTTATGTCAAATTTGGTTTTCTGATTTTACAATATAATCATTTTTCTCCATGTTCTATTTTATAAATCCTTGAGATCTTTCAGATGAGCTTTAGCCTATAAAATGTGACTCTTTATAAATAAAAATTAAAGATATGCAAATAATAGCCTATAATAATATCTTTCCATTTCAGCAAGCCAAACAGAGTTTTAAAGGTTAAAATCATTAGTATCAAGAATTTTCTTATGAGTATATAATTGAAGTTTGCATGTCTTGATTTACAGTACTTTAAAGGTGTGGACCAACTTCAAGGAATGGGAGAAATTCTGTGCATATGAAAAACAGTCCAACCTTTTATGCCTGCAAACTGGAAAAATAGAATCACACACTTCTAAAACTGGACTTGTAATTCCAACAACTCAGTGAAAAGAAAAGTTGAAATCAATTCCAAATAGTACAAAAGTTCTCCTTTCAAAATTTTGAGCATATCTATTAAGTCAGTGTTTTAGTGCCATGACTGGTTTGCAGTAAAACAAATCAGCACGTATTAATCCTTTCATTAAAAAAAAAAAAAAGTCTATATGTTGAATGTTAATTTGTCAGTGGTGGTAAATATAACCCATAGGCCTCAAATAACCTTAGAATCCTCTCAGCTTCGCTGACAGTAGGGTCTAACTTCCTAATCCTTTCCATAACATACACTCAAAGGGGAGAGCCATTTATAAGACTTAGAGAAGACTTTTATCTTCCTGCCCTACCTCCCCTAATTTCATATAAGAAACACCTAACAATCTGGGAGATCTTTGCTAGTGATAAGCCTGACAAGTCAGAAAGCTGAGCAAAGAAGTCAACCCATTTGTGAGCCTTACCATCTAAAAGTGTTAATCACTTTCTTCAAAATAAACAGAAACCTTTTTTCCTTCGTTTAGCTTTTCTTCCTCTTTTCTGTAACAAGGCAGAAACCAAATGTCAGGTAAACAAGAGGAAGCAAAAGAGACAAAACCTACAAAAGCTTCAAAGAAGGTGTTTTTTTCCCACATATTGGAAAGGATTACATGTACCTGGGCAGAGGTTCAAGCTCACTGAGAGCTAAACCACTGGTACTATCTAGCTACTAGTAATACCCATGCCTCAACATGACTCTTGCTATCTGAACATTGCCATATTTCAGAATGTGATGGAATATAATTTGGGGTCTGATTTGGGAACGCCAGAAGTTTAGAGCAGACTCCTCAGTTTACCATTAGTATCCTACCTCTACTTTCTACTCCTTGTTCAAAAAAGAAAAGAAAAAAAAAGTTTGAATTGACCTAGAAGATAATCACTATTGATTATATGCACTTCTATTCAAACTAGAGGGAGCTCTGGTAGCATAGTGGCTAAGGCACTTGACTGCTAACCAGAAGGCTGGCCGTTCAAACCCACCAGCCACTCCTTGGAAGGAAGGTTGGGCAATCCTACTTCCGTAGTGATACTGCCTCAGAAACCCAAGGAGGGGTCGCTATGAGTCAGGGCTGACTCGACGGCACATAACAACAACAACAACATTCAAACTAGAACCTCAGGATTAAGTTATTAGGCTCCTTAAAATCAATTCTATTTACTTGAGTAAATATTGAGTGATGGAAAGAAATGGTGCTGGGACAATTAGATATCTACCTGAAAAAGAGTGAAGTTGGACTCCTACCTCATATACTGATAGGGTAATATAAAAATTAACTCAAAATTGTTTAAAGGCCTAATGTAAAAGCTAAAAGTGTAAAACTCTCAGAAGAACACATGGGCGTAAATCTCCATGACCTTGGATTAGACAGTGGGTTCTTAGCTATGACATCCAAAGCACAAGCAACAAAAGGAAAATTAGATAAACTGGACTCCATCAAATTTGAAAACCTAGGCTTCAAAGGACATTATCAAGAAAGTGAAAAGACAATCCACAGAATGGGAGAAAATAATTGTAAATCATGTATTTGATAAAGGACTAGTATCTAAAATATGTCAAGAACTCTTGTAACCCAGCAGATGAATGACCCAATTAAAAAATGGGTTAAAAAAAAATTGCATAGACAGCTACCACTATCAACCACTTGGAAAGAGATCAAAATAGGAGATCCTGGATATAATGGGAGAAAAATGTGGAACGAAACTCAAAATCATAAAAAAAAAAAAAAAGGATCAGGCTTTTTTCCGATCTTCTTGTTATATGCCGTTGAGTCAGACCTAACTCATAGCAACTCCTCCTTGGGTTTCCGAGGCAGTATCACTACAGAAGTAGATTGCCCAACCTTCCTTCTGAGGACTGGCTGGTGTGTTTGAACCACCAGCCTTCTGATTAGCAGTCAAGTGCCTTAGGCACTACGCTACTACAGCTTGATATTAGTAAAACCCCTGAGACTATGGCCCCTAGTCACCATTTGGGCTTGCAATTGAACTCACTGTTAGGGCTTCCAACCAAGTAGTAGACAGGGATATAAGGTGAACATTTACACAGGTAGATACACTCCTTGGAACAGTCAACCATGGGAGATTAGAAGGGCAGTATTTGCACAAGGAGATAGCTCAGAAGGCAAGAGTGCATAGGAAAGAAGGACACAGGGAAAGGATAACACAGGGAGGAAGTGGGAAGAGAGCTGTTACATCATGGGATTTGGAGTTAATGTTATGAAACAAAATGTATATGAACTGTTCATGGAAAATGCGTTTGCTCTGTAAACTTTCATCCAAATCACAATAAATAAATAAAACTTTAAGTATATATATATCTCCAAATAAGACATCCAAATGACCAATAAACACCTGGAAAGATGCTCAACCTCTTTAGTTGTTGTTGTTATGTGCCGTTGAATTGGATCCAACTCATAGCGACCCCTCCTTGGGTTCCCAAGGCAGTATCACTACAGAAGTAGATTGCCCAACCTTCCTTCCGAGGAGTGGCTGATGGGTTTGAACTGCCAGTCTTCTGGTTAGCAGTCAAGTGTCTTAGGTACTATGGTACCAGAGCTCCTCTTTAGTCATTAGGAGAATGCAAATTAAAACCTCAGTGAGATATCACTTGGCATCCATTAGATGGCTTCTGATGTTCATCAAAAAGGTAGACAATAAAAAATTTCAGCAAGGATGTGGAGAAATTGAACTCTCCAATGGGAATGTAAAATGATGCAGCTGTTTTGATTAACAGCCTGGCAGTTCCACAAAAAACTAAACATGCTATTACCATATGGCCCAGCATTCCTAGGTATAAATATACTCAAGAGAATTGAAACCCTGTCCATACAAAAACTTGTACACAAATATCCATATTATTCATCATAGCCAAGAAGTGGGAAAAAAACAAAAATCCATCAATGGATAAAATATGATATATCCATATAATGTATTATCCAGCTATAAAAAGGAATGAAGCTCTGATACATGTTATAACATGGATGAATCTTGAAAACACTAAGCTAAGTGAAGAAGCCAGTCATAAAACCCCACATATTGTCTGATTCCAGGAACTCTGGTAGCATAGTGCCTAAGGCACTTGACTGCTAACCAGAAGTCTGGTGGTTCAAACCCACCAGCTAGTCCTCGGAAGGAAGATGGGGCAATCTACTTCTGTAGTGATACTGCCTCGGAAACCCAAGGAGGGGTTGCTATGAGTCGGGTCCGACTCGATGGCATATAACAACAACAACATTGTATGATTCCAGGATTTATATGAAATGTCTAGAATAGGCAAATCTAGAGACACTTCTGGAAAGTAGACTAGTGGTTGCCAGGAGCTGGAGGGGATAGGAAGTGATGGCTAAAGGATATGGAGTTTCTTTTTGGGGTGATGAAAATGTTCTTCAGTTAGTGGTGATAGTTGCACAACTTTGTGAATTTGTGGTAGGTGAATTTTCTCAAAAAAATAATTGAGCACCTATTATCAGCATGGCTAACTTTTCTAGATACTGATTCACAGTGCCCCTCCTGACTGCCTAGGCAAATGGGTGCTTCCCTTTCTAAAAGTAAGGAGTAGAAAGCTTTCAGGAAGCCATCTAGATGCAATGATGGGTTTCTCCTCATCCAGAGCAAAGAAAAATGAGGAAAACCAGATTTGTGGAAATAATTAGTCCAAGTGACTGGTATACCATGTGATCCTCAGTCTATATGTCTGTGAGACCAGAACTGGTACCCAGCTACCACTTGAAGGGGGAATTTATGTAGGAGATCCTAGATAGAGTGGGAGAAAAATGTGGAACAAAACTCAAAATCATTTGGAAAAAAAAAAAAAAAGGGACCAGGTTTGCTGATCTGATAGAGCCTGATGGAACCACTGAGACTATGGCCCCTAGCTGCCCTTCAGGTCTGGAATTGAACCCACACCTGTGGCTTCCAGCCAAACAAAAGACAGGCATATAAGGTGAACATTTATACTAGGTAGATATACTCCTTGGAGAGAATAATCATGGAAAAATAGAAGGGCTGTATATGCACAGGGACACAGCTCAAGGGGCAGGAGTGCATGGAGGGAAGGACACAGGGAAGAGCTAACTATGGGGAGGAAGTGGGAGGGGAGCTGTTGCATTATGGTAAATTGTAGTCAATGTCATGAGACAAAGTGTATGTGTGCTGCTGTATGGAAAGTGTATTTGCTCTGTAAACTTTCACCCAAATCACAATTTTAAAAAAAAAGTAAGGAGTAGGCTAGAAAAGCTTTTATATAAAATACATTTTTATAAAATCAAATTCATATAGTACGAAATCCTGTGATGAAGTCTTTTGTATAATTAAGAGACTTTTGTATAAATTTTCTAATTCACACTTTTATCTGTCCCATGAATTTTGAATTCTTTTCTATAGGGTTTACTCAGAGAAGAACAATTTTTGAGCCCCAGAGTAAATACCAGGAGTCACCATGAGAGATGTTAGAGGACTTTCCCAGAATTGCCCAGCCTTACGATTTTATCTCCACCACTTTATGAGCTCTGTCAGCCCATCGCTTTTTCCGAAAATGCTGAAAGAGGACCACCACTATTACAATTATGACCATCAGTGCACAGGCAGAGCCAATGGCCAGAGCCAGGAAGTAGATCTCAGAGAAGTGTGCTGCAAAGAGAAAAAGAACAAGTTAGGATTCTAAGAAGAGGACTGTGGGGGATCACAAGGAGCCCTAGTGGCACAGTAATTAAGCACTCTGCTTCAAGGTCAGCAATTCAAACCCACAAGTCGCTTTATGGAAGAAAAGACCTAGCAGTTTGCTCCAGTAGAGATTACAGGAAACAACACGGTGGATCCCATTGCGCACGGGGCCCCCATGAACTGGGGCTGACTTTATGGCAGCTAACATGATGGCATAGTGCCTAAGGCACTTGGCTGCTAACCAGAAGGCTGGCGGTTCAAACCCACCAGCCACTCCTCGGAAGGAAGATTGAGCAATCTACTTCCGTAGTGATACCGCCTCAGAAACCCAAGGAGGGGTTGCTGTGAGTCGGAGACGACTCGATAGCACGTAACAACAACAACATGATGAAATCTAAAGACATAATGTTGTTGTTGTTGTTGTTACGTGCCGTCAAGTCGGACCGGACTCATAGCGACCCCTCCTTGGGTTTCCGAGGTGGTATCACTACGGAAGTAGATTGACCAACCTTCCTTCTGAGGAGTTAGCAGTCAAGTGCCTTAGGCACTATGCTACCAGAGCTCCTAAAGACATAATAAAGATGTGTTTCATCATTAAATGGAATCTTCCTTTATATATAAAATATCACGTTGTTGTGTGCCATCAAGTCAATTCTAACTCATAGTGACCCTGTAAAACAAAGTAGAACTACCCTATGGAGCTCTGGTGTCATAGTGCCTAAGGCATTTGCCTGTTAACCAGAAGGCTGGCAGTTCAAACCCACCAGCCACTCCTCAGAAGACTGGGCAATCTACTTCTGTAGAGATACCACCTCAGAAACCCAAGGAGGGGTCACTACTCAAGAGTAGTGAGTTTGGGGTTTTGTTTTGTTTGTTTTTTTAATTTTTGTAGGAGCAGATCACCAGGTCTTCCCAGAGCCAGTGGGTGAGTTCTAAAAGCTGACCTTTCAGTTAGCAGCTTAACCATTGTGCCACTGGAGCTCCTTACAGTTGAGTAGTTCTCAATTGTATTGTTCCAGGAACCGCAGTAATAATATCATTTGACAATTGTGAAATGTAAATTCTTGTGCCTCACCCCAGGCCTGTCAGAAACACTGGGAGTTGGGCCCAGCAATCTGAGTTTTAACCTGTCCACCAGGTGATTCTGATGCATGCTAAAGCTTGAGACCACAGGGCTGTTAGAACTACTTAGTACAGTCAGACTGTTGCCCCACCCCTTTCCTCATTTATACTCCCTCTCACCCCTATCACTTAATCAATCATTTATTCAAATTTATTAAGATTCCAGGCACTGTGATGGAAATACAAAGCCAAAAATGGCATTACCCTCAAGCAGTTCACTGCCCACTGGGAAGATACTCAAACAGGTAAGTCTACAGTCTAGTGGGTAAGTGATGCAAGAGGGAACCCAGAGGGAAGGGCCCCTAAGCCAGACTAGAGTCTGTGAAAACTAGTTCTCCTTTTCTATAGCTTGATTTCTGATTTTATACTTCATTAAACATTCAGGGCCAGAAAGGACATTAGATAATCTGTAGCCGATGGGTGTCTACTCTGGAGTCCATGAGGGAGATGGGAAAAGGGTGGTCCACAAGTCCACAAAATCCATGTCAAACTGCATATGTACATTTTTTGTGGGAATCAAGGCCATGGCTGTCATTAAATTCTCAAAGAGAAGTGACCCCTATCATTTAATAACCATTGATTTTTTTTGTCTAACCTATTCATTTTACAGATGAAGAAACTGAGGTCCAAAGACATTATATTACTTCTTTGAACACTCAAATGACTTCTCCAAAGTTACACAGCTCTCCACTGGGAGAGCCCAGAGGGATGGTTTTAAACCATACTGGAAATGAAAGGAGGAAATCATACCACTTTACAAGCTAATACATTTTGAATAACAATATTATAAATTGGTTTAGAACACACACCATTTACTACCATTTACTAGCTGTATGATTTAGGATAATTAACTTCTTTGAGCCTCATCTAAAAAATAGAGATAAGTTTCCTCATCTAGCAAACAGACGGAACAATATTTATTTATGTTCTTATAAAGAATAAGTTAAATAATCCATGTAAATTGTTCCATACTGTGCCTGCACATAATAGATAATATATGGTAGCTATATCCTCACTTTCCATGCAGGAGACCTGGGTTCGATTCCTGGCCAGTGCACCTCAAATGCAGCCACCAATCATCTGTCAGTGGAGGCTTGCATGTTACTGTGATGCTGAACAGGTCCTAATGGAGCTTCCAGACTGAGAGAAACTAGAAAGAAAGGCCTAGCAATCTACTACTGACAACCAGCCAGAGAAAATCCTATGGATCATGGTGGTTCAACCCTGTTGGTGCATGGGATCACCAAGAGTCAAGGGCTGACTCGACGGCAGCTAACAACATCAACATTATAATTTTCAGTGAAGTTCCGAGTTTGCAAATGTTTTCCAATTTTTATTTCATTTTGTCCTCACCATATCCTCATTATTATTCTCATTTCACAGGTGAAGAAAATAAGATTTGTTTACAGCTGGTAAATGATAGCAATGACTCAAACCTAGATCTACTACTCTCAGGTTATATGCTCTTTGCTCTTTGTTGTCTGGCACAGTGTTCCAGGGTGTCCTTTATAGGAGTGCAGGCAATACAATGCACTAGTTGGGAGCAGGATTTTGGAGTCAAAGCTGCCTGGGTTTCAGTCCTAAGTGCCTGCATTTGTCACCTGCATAACATTGGACAAGTGACTTGACCTCTGTGAGCCTCAGTTCCTCCTTGGAAAAATAGGGGTGCTGAGAGCACAATAAACTCATGAGACATGTAAAGATTAAATAAGAGTTTCAGGTAAAGCCTCTGGTACATGGGAAGTACTCAGTAAACATTAGGTAACGATGATTGGTATTTACCCCTCAGGGTGGTGGTGAGCGTTAAATGAGATAGTATGCAGAAGGGCATTGGACAGTGCCTGCCACAGAGCAGGTTCTCAATATCTTTGGAAGCAATGAGTGAATGGACCTGTTGTTAGCCTTTTATCTGAGAGTTGCTTCCTCTCCCTTTCACATTCTCACTACCATTTTTGTAACAGATTCCCGAGGTCCCTTTACTTCATTTTCTGTTTCATTCCAAAACCAAACAAAGCCTTTCTTTTTTTCACTTCAGGACTCGTTAGTCTCCCTCTAACGATCCCATTGCCAAAGGGCTAGTCCCTTTCTCTACTCTGACAGCCATCACAAAAGATTGCCTCTCCCTTTTCTACAAGCTCTCACGCTTCCCAAAAACACTTGCCCCTGCATAACCTACCAGTCTGCACAACGCTGAGCCGGATCTCCCCTATCAGCCCATCCACATCAGGTGGGTTCTTCACCTGGCAGGTGTATGTCCCATTGTCATCAAACTGCAGTTTCCAGAGGATTATAGAGACGTCGTAGCGCTCAGGATTCCCATCCCAGACCACCCGGTCCTTGAACCGCCCGCTCATGGGTTTAAAGGGCTCCCCGTGATAATAGAATACCTAGAGAGGAGAAATGGCAGAAGGTCTTTCATACGCAGTACCTGGGCAAGAAAGCAGAGATGATGGAAGCAGAAGAGAAGCATCAACGAGCCCATCTGCCCCCCCCCCACTCTCTCGCAAGAGCCTCTTTCCCCTTCATTTGCATCTCAGTTCTTTCAGTCTCTGCCCCAAGATTTGTTTCCCATCTTTACCCTGTACGTGTTGCTAAGAAAAATAAAGGAGGGACAATGAGAAGTGGACTGGCTTATTTTCCTAATCAAGAGTCTTCTCAGAAAGTGGTAATAACCTACTTACAAATTGCTCAGACCCGCCATCTCGAGGACGGAAATTCCAAGTCACTGTTAAAGCATCACCCACAGGGGCAAAGCTGGAGAAAGTGCATTTTAACCGAACATCTGTCCCGTTAACAGCCTCCAGCACCCGAGAGGTGTAAATTTCCACAGCTGCTATAGGCCAAAAAGCTGCAACAAAGAAGAGGGTTAATAGATGCAGTGTTGAGACAACTGTCCCATCTGCTATTGACACTTCCAAATAGATGCCTGAGTAGAGCATAAAACAGAGATGAGATGCCCCAACTCTGAAATTTACTTCACCCAAGTCTGCATACTTTCATCTGTAGGCAACCATGATCTTCTCATTCCATGTAACAACTAAAAATACCCCACAATGAGCCTTCAGGTTTCTCACTTCCTCCACAGCATGGTATCCTGGCCTCATGGTACCCACTTCAAAACTGTTGTACCAAACTGCAAAGATTGGCAAATAAAATAGAAAGCAGAAACAAAAATAATCCTAACTGATTAAATCTTGCATTATGAGTTAAACATCGTGTGTGTGTGTGTGTGTGTGTGTGTAATTGTTGCCTAGCAGAAAGGGTCCTCGTCACGTCAATTTCATACTATTCCTAATCTTCTGTAGAAACTGAATTAATTAAACCCTAGACAGTTATGTTTGTCTGCACCACTGGAACCTTTTATACCATAGGATACTTTCTACCACAGTAATTACATTTAGAATGTGCTTGTTGGAGCAGGTTCAAAACTATGGTGGGTTTGTCTCCTTAACAATCTCAGCTTTCCCAGTGCTGTCCAGAGTTCCAGGCAAGATCCACATACAGAAATCCAAGTGCCAAATGCTGCCTGTAGCGAGAGGTTGAGAGCAGCCACACACGAAAAAATAGTGTGTAACCTGAGATTAGAAAGCCCTCTGTGTGTCTGAATCACTGGCAACTCGAACACACCTAAACCTGTTTGTCCAAAAGCAGTTACCCACAAACAACTCTCCAACTTTGGTTTCAGTCAAAACTAAAATGAACCCCAACAGTGGCTCAGGCTCTAAAACTGGTGAGACTTCTTGATCACATTAGCTAACTTTGTAGGGTAGGCAACAAAGCAGAAAATGCTGGGAGAAGCTCCTTACCTGTGAGCTGTATACCAAGGAAAAGCAGCACAGCCCGAGTAAGGCTCTTGCCATACATGAGGGAAACCCAGCTCTGGCCCCGGAGACCAGACCCGGCAGACCGAGGCCTCCAACACCCTGCCAAGGCCACTCCAGGAGGAGTGAGCGCCACGTTTTTCCGGAGAGAGAAGTGTTGAGTCCGCTCACCTGTGGGAATCTGAGCGCCCGCGCTGGTGACTCATCCCCGCTTTGGCCTGAGCCTTCGCTGGAATGAAAGGTGGGGCCTCAGCTCCTAAAGCCCTCCTTCTCCTCCCTCCCGCCCTCTCCGCTACCAGCACGTCTGCCCAAAGGTCCCAAACTCTGCCGCCCTCTCTTTACTTTTCAGTTAATATCACTGGGCTCTGGCCTCTGGATGCCCTCAGAAACAGCCAAAGGAGGTGGTGCTAGTCTGAAATGTCCCAGCCTGCTTTGGGTTTGGCCCCCACACACCCTGTTTTAAACAGGCTTTAGGCTTGTCTGGAAACTGAATGTTGAAACCACTTTGCAATGATTCCGCTTCCCAAAGCTCCTCCCTGGAGCCACTTGTAGCCAAGGACTGGATTCACTACAACTCTGGGACAAGAAGTAGAATTTCTTGGACCCTTCTCTAGACAAAAAGTCCTACCACTTATACCCTCAATTTTAGCCAGATGTTGTCACAAAGCTGTCTTCACCTTTTCTAGCTTGTAGCTTTCCCTGAAGCAGAACTGAAACAAACTGACCAAATCAAATCTGTGTTTAATGATCTTTGCCTTTAAAGGATTTAAAGACGTATCAGAACATCATCAGTGCTCATTTCTCCTACCATCTCAATAGTCTGCAAAGTGCTTTTTGCTTATTATTTCTTCTCCACAAAACCCTTTGAACTTTCCCATTTACCAATGAGGATCTTAAGAGCTTGGGGAAAGGAAGTGGCTTTTGTCCAAAGTTGCATAACTAATAAGTAGCAAAAAGTGGGACTTTTCTGACTCATCAATCTACTGCTCTTTCCACAAAATAGTAGCTAACATAACTATTAGACAGAGGACTATCAAGGAAAAGGTTTTCACAGCAACACTTTTGTTCCTCAGATTTCATCTGCCATTTTCAGGGCAGTCCTATGTCTAAGAAATTTAAAGAGCTAAGGGACTTAAATGAGAAAAGGTGCCTGCTTGTCTGCAGGAGGGTGGGGTACTTGTTAAGGATTCCAGAGCAGCACTGAAACAGCGATGGGAGGGGGTGAAGATCACACACAGTTAAGAAGTAGGCTTGACCAGGACTTTAACTCTGAACAGAAGCAAATTGCCCTTATCCTTGAATTGGTAACCTAGAAACTCTTTAGTGATTCATAAAATATAGTCAAGCCCTGGAACAGAGAAGATTACCAGGAAGAGGAAGAAGGGACAGACTGACTAGGAAAAAAAGTAAGCATCATAAAGAGGGAAGAAAAGGTAAAATTCCACCAAGAGAGAAACACATTATAGAAAAGGAGAAGAAAAGCAGAAGAGAAAAGGAAGGCAGCCAGAGAAAGATGACATGGGCCTGGAACAAAAAAGGTAAAGACAACTGGGAAACACAAGATGCGAGGGGCCAACCTAAGTGAAGACTGGCTGGGTCCTAAGTAAAAAAAAAAAACTCACTGCCATGGAGTCAATTCTGACTCATAGTGACCCCCATTGCATTTCAAAGGCTGTAAATCATTATAGAAGCAGACTGCCTCCTCTTTCTCCCAGAGTGGCTGTTGAGTTCAGAACACCAACCTTTTGGTTACCAGACCAAAAGGACTTAGCCTTAACCACTACACCACCAACGCTCCTTGGGTCCTAAGTAGACATGTATTATTATGATGCATGTTTCTGAAAAGAGATGGTTTGGTTCCGTTGTCCAAAATCAGCCTGAAATCAGAAGGCTGAGAAGAAAAGTTTAAAGAGATGATAAGGATAAGATACAGCCTTTCTGGTATGTAGGTCAGGAGAGTTCATCTCCAGGAGCCTGAAAGAAAAGGAGTTAAGGAAACTAGATCTTCGTTGTTGGTTTTCAACTTTGCAGGGTAATGCAGCTCTAGAGGAGGAGAAGTAGAGCCTGGGGTTTTGAAGTCTACAGCAAATTGCAAAATGTGCTGAGAGATAGAATTACCAAAGAGCTCAGGGGTGCTGTGAAAGCAGCAGGAGAGGAGTCGGGGCAGGAGGAACTGAACAGACTGCCTGTTGTCACAAACTGAAGAGTCTCTCCCTTAGGTAGCCAGGCGCCCCGGGAGCTGGCTGGCAGCCCTACTCTGAGGGTCAGCAGCTGCCCAGATCCCATTCCTCAGCAGAGTTCAAGTTCCTGGCTTTGTGCCCAGCAACACCCAATTCCTTCCAGTTAGCAGGAGTGGCTCTAGAGTTTTCCAGTTCCCCTCCCTGGGTGAGGAAGGAGGAGCCCAAGGGCTTAACTTGGTAAGAAGAGAAAACACAGAATAAAAAGGACATTTGCTTCTAAGAATTCCCAGGAAGCCTGTCAGCAGGACTTTGATCAAAGGTGGAGGCATCTAGGTAAGGCTGATGTTATGGCTTGTGTCTAGGCAAATGAAATAAAAGAAAGAGGAGTTCTGGAGAGTAAAAGGAAAGAAAACAAACTTTTCAGAGACACCACTTTTTTATTATTAAAATTTCTGGCATATCAATAGTTTTGAATGCACCTATCTGTCCCAATTCTCCACACATTTCCCCAAAACATTTCTAATGGCTATCTAGACCTTGGCCAATAGGAAACTCAGTGGGAGCTTAGATGATAGAAAGGATAACTGGCCTATGTAAATATTTGCAAAAATTATTTTCTTTCCCAACATCTCAGCCAAAAAAAAAAAAAAACCTGCCACAAAATGAAATTAGCATTCCCTGAAGCAAAAAATAAATAATTAAATAATAATTTAGCTCTTAGGGTGTTTTAAATAAAGCATTATGTTTACTCACAAGTTTCTTTCTGTCTATATGTCTTCCTTACTCTCAAAAAATTTTTATTAAATGCTTGCTATATGCCAGGCTAGACATACAAGGTAGACTAAGACAATTCTGCCTGGGAGGAAATCATCTCCTAAAGAGGATGGGGAGCTCAATAGTATGTGTAAATATGTCATTTCTATATTTCTGATATTTGAGTTAGGTCTTTAAAGGAGAAATAAGAATTCTGGGAAGAGATAACAGAAAAGCATTCCAGTTGGAACAAATGGGTGGGGATGTGGTATCCACAGGGACCAGCAAGCAATTCCTCAAGCCTGGAGCACAAGGAGGAATGAAAAGGCCAGGAGACAGACAGCAAAGCTGAGCCCAGATATGAGGGTCATCATTCGCCATCCCAAGGAGTGTGCACTTGATCCTGACAAATGTACCAACTGGGAGTGGGATACATACTGTGACGCTAGCAGAGTCTTTCTGTAGCGGAATTACAATGGTACTTCCTGAACCATTGGGGAAGAAAAAGAAAAAAGAAGAAGAAGGAAAATCTTGAGGCATCAGCTTAGCTCTCCCTGATTTCTCGGGGAGCTGAGGAACATACAGGAGCCAGGAGGAAGTACAAACCTAATGCTAACTTTCAGAAGAAGCAAGGACTCTCAGCCTTCTCTAACCAACAATTCCAATCTATAGCTCCTTTGAAAAAAGAAAAAACAACTTCCTCTGACTTAGAGAGCTTTTCAAAGATGAGAGAGAGAGAGTTTGTCGTTAGAATCCACCCCAAAGAAGAGGTGTGTTTCTTCTGGTCCTCCTTCTTACCTCAAGTTTCCTGGAGATATCCTAAAGCAGATCTGGTTCTAAGACTGAGCTCTAAAGATCTTAGAAAAACCCTGGGGCAAACTCTCTCCTACCTCCTGCCTCACTGCTGCTTCTGCACTTCTCCAGTAAAGCCTCCGGCTCCTTTCATAATTATGGAAGAGGGGAATCTTGCCCTCATTAACCAGCCCACAAAAAGAATCTGAAGTTTAACCCTTCACTTATTCTAAAGTGAAGCTAGTAGGATTACACAGGAAGGAAGAGATAGGAAATCTTCTAAAATAAATTTGAATAATCTCCCAGGAGTTAGGAACCTTGATAGATGCACGACTCTCTCCCTGTTACCATACATATCACACCTAAATACTGGATGAGGATTTACATTTATAATGTATTTCTTGATGAACACAGTATCTCTCACTTACCATGACCAATTTCATTCTTAGGAAATTAATTCATTTCCTAAGGTAAGAAATAGTCACTTCTTCTTCTTCTTTTTAACTTTTCATCATGATCTGAGTGAAACTGTACAAAACATTCAACAGTTTCTACACATTTTGTTTTGTGATACTGGTTCCATTCCCCACAGTGTAACATCTCACCACCTCCTTCCTCCCTGTGCATATCCTTCCCCTGTGTCCTTCTTGCCTATGCATTTCTGTCTCCCTACCTTTCTCCCTGTGCAAATGCTGCCCTTCTGATCTCCCATGGTTGATTGTTCTAAGGAGTGCATCTCCCTGATACAGGTGTTCAGTTCGTAGGCTTGTCTCTTGCTTGGCTGAGAGGTCAGCCACAGGAGTGAGTTAAATTCCAGGATCTATACAGGATCTCCAATTTTAATCCCTTTCTGAGTGGTTGACATTGGTAGCTGGCACCATCTAGTTCTTCTGGTGTCATATAGGTTGAGATTCCCATGGTCCATTTGTCCTTTGGACTAACCGTTACCATGCGTCTTTGATTTTCTTCACTCTTCTTTGCTCTAGACGAGGAGAAATCAGTAGTTGCCACTGAGACTGTCATTCATAAGCTTTTAAGACCCCAGTTACTACTCACTGAAGTAAGATGTAGAATAGCATTTTTGTATACTATGTTTGTATACCATACCAATTAAGCTGATGTCCCCCACAACCATGGTCCCCAGCTCACAGGCCCAGCAACCCTGTCCTTCACAGTCCTTATTTGTGACTCATAACTTTGCCTCCAATTATGTTTCAACTGCATCTGAATATTTTTATAGAACATACAAATACATACATAGGAGTAGTCACTTCTTTTGTTGCTGCTCTGTAGTAGGAGACATTATGAGGCGTAGGACCTGGAGGTTAGATTGCTTAGATCAAAATCTGAGCTTGACCACTTACTAGCTGTGTGACCCTGGACAGTTATTTAATTCTCTGTCCCTCAATGATTTCATCTGTAAAATAAGCATAATATCTGCCCCATTGGCTTGTTATAAGAACCAGGTGAAATACTGTATATAAGTAAAACTTGAAGCTCAGTGTCTATAATAAGTACTCGGTAAATCCGAAAAAAAAAAAAAAAAGAACACAGAAGAACTGATGCATTTGGATTGTGGTGTTGGCAAAGAATATTGAATATACCATGTACTGCCAAAAGAAGAAACAAATCAGTCTTAGAAAAAATACACCAAAATGCTCCTTAGAAGGCAAGATGGCAAGACTTCAGCTCACTTACTTTGGAC